TGTGTCTCCATGCTAGAAGTCCCAGAATCAGTCTGCCTTGAGGATTGCTTTCTAGAGCATCCGTATTCATTGCAGCCATATGGGCCAGTCTAATAAGCCCTGAAAGATGCAGTGAGATCCCATTTTGTCTACCCTGCCCAATGGAGTGGTGGAATTTACCCTAAATTGGATTTTCCAGTGAGAGGTACTCTAACTACATCACCTTCTGCACCCGCAGCCTGCCAGACATGCAAGCAGGGATTTCCTTTGCCTTTACAGAAGTGTGTCCCTAATTCCTGCCTCTGCACCACAGTGAGCTGTGAGGTCTTGGACTGCAGCGGCATGTTCATGCTGGGCATGACAGAATGGATCATAAAGAGGAACAATGCCTTGGTCAGTTGTGGAGCTCCTGATAAGAAGCAGACATGGGGCTGAGCTGTTGCGGTTTCTTACCAAGATGATGGGCTTGCTAAATTATCACTCTACCCACCAGAAGTGTTGGAGATAGCAGCTGCCTGCTCTAAGGGAGGTTTCTCGGTCCTGTTTTACATCCTTGCTACCTCCGTGATAACATCCTTGGTGGGGCTGTGGAGCCCTTTTGGTCTGTGCTCTGGTTTCTAGCCTTTCTTGCTTTAGTAACACTTTGAAGACCCAAAGCAGCAGGATTCTGGTGCTAACGTGATGGTTTAAAAGAAGGAAATCTAGTACCACAGATCCTCACCAGCATTTGTAAGATATGGTCACAGCTTGAGATGGGAAGGGTGAACAGCAGGTTGTGATATCTCATAGTCTTGCAACTGGCATTGTTTTCATCATAGAAGATGAGAGATAATCTTACGTTACTGCCACATTGATGGTGTGTAATGTGGCTTATTTTCCTTAGTGTTTTCCTTTTGTGGAGTATGACAAGGCAGGTTAGGCTGAGGCTCTGTGTCCACTGAAGCCAGGCCACTGCAGACAGCATGGTTGCTCTCCTTTGTGGGGAAATAACTAGTTCAGTGCTCAGCAACTCCAGCTGCTTTGCAGGCTCCTCTTCAGAGCTGTGCTACCACCAGCCTGTCCTTACAGCATGGATCCACTGACCTGCTCCTGGCCCTGCTCATCTACATGTTTAGAAGGGGGAGAAAAGGGAATTTTATACCCCCCAAAATGCAGGTATGTGTGAAAATAACTGAGAGGCTGCAAGACCCATGAACCTGCTGTTGCTCTGCAGTGTGGTTTGTGGGATCCTGTCAGCTGGGTTGGCATTTTGTGGCTTTTCTGTAAAGGTGACAATGATACAATGTGAAGTGCTGACATGGGTTTCCTTCCACACTTCACCACGATGCTCCAGACAGTGTAAAAGCCACCTGTAGATGCTCTGTGGGTAAGAAGAAGAGAAATCCTTTTCAGATTTTGGGCTTACATTCCCACAGCTTCCTGCTGTCCCAGCCTCTGGTGAAAGGAAGAACAAAGTGCACTGTGTGTAGCTAGAGGTGAAAGCCTCAGTAAGCTCCTCCACAAGAAGTCTGACCCAGCAGGCAAGTACTATCGAAATAATTCACCTCACCTTCCCTTCCAGAACTCAGGTGTTGAAGACTGAGGACATGTAAGATGTCCTCAGGCACCTGCATTTTGTGGCACATGGAGTGTGAAGAGTGGGTTCCAGGCCTGGGGCTGATCCTGCTTCCAGTGGGTCTCCCCTTTTGTGTAGATACTGGGCTCAAAATCTGTTTTCTTTTCAAGCTGGTGTGACTGGAGAGGCTCAGTCTGTGGGGTTTGGTCATCATTATACAAATACATTCCTTCCTGGGACCAGTGGTCATGTTCAATGAAGCAAGAAGTCTCTGTGCTCTCTTCTTTGTGAGCTGCTGGTAGCACATTCCCAAGTCATGCTGCCGCCTTCTCTTATCTATATGGGGTTGTTTAGACCTCTGGCAGCCTGCCTCGATGGGGTGGCATCCGCGCTGTGTATGGTGGTGGAGCTGCCCCAAGCTCCATGAACCTGGGATGCTTCTGCAGCATGAGAGAAAGCTTCATGGTCTCCAAGGGTCTTGGATTTCCTGTGCGTGAGGAGCTTGTTGGTACGTTGTTTACTTCCTTCTGTGCCCATGGTTAACGCCTGACATGGAGGATGCAGCATCCTATAGGTCTCCTTCCTCCTCTAGCAGCAGAGGCAGAATGATTTGTGCAGCACTATCTGTTCTGTTGGTACTTTTAGGCTGTTCCCATGACTTTTGTGAGAGCCCATGGATAAACAGTGAAGGTACAAGAGTTTCAGGTTCTGCAGTAGAAACACAGAATGGTTTGTGTTGGAAGGGACCTTAAAGCTCATCCAGTCCCAACCCCCTGCCACGGGCAGGGACACCTTCCACTAGAGCAGCTTGCTCCAAGCCCCTGTGTCCAACCTGGCCTTGAACGCTGCCAGGGATGGGGCAGCCACAGCTTCTCTGGGCACCCTGTGTCAGTGTCTAGTTCCAGTGTTCCAGCACTAGACAGAAGGCTGCATTCCAGCTGACTGTTCTCCTGCAAATGATACAGTCAATTCTTAGCTCTTCTTGTACAAATGAGTCTTTAATGGGAGTCTGCACTGGGAGCATAAAATGCCTACACAAGTCTTCAGCAGAGGCTGATTTTTCTCTCTGTTGCACTGGATTTCACAGCATCACCTCTGGGTCGCAGTGAAATGTGCAGGAGGAGCCTTTGGCTCATCTACTTGGATCATATTGAGTCCATGAAAAAGCAAAGCAGTGCCTTTTTGGGGATGAGATGATTAAGTGTATACCCAGAGTATAGAGGTCACAGCAGGGACAGCAGAAAGGTGTCATCAGTTGGCTGTCACGGTGCAGTTAAACAGGCTTCTATTGGCTATTCTGAGGGTCCCTGTGAACAGCAAAGTGGTCCAAGCGAGCCAGGAATGGAGGTCATTTAGGGAAGGCTGTTCTGCTTCTTCCCTAAAAGTACCTGTTTGAAGGAGGAGGGCTTTGCTTCCTCCTCTCCCATCCTCCTCCTCCTGCTGCAAGTTTCATCCTCCCGATGACAAATGAGGAGTGTCGGACGTGGATCTCACCCCATCACACGCCATCTCCTGCTCAGTAAAACAGCAGTACCCCACCACCCAGCTCTGCAGGAATCTCCCTGTGTCCTGGCTGCTTGCTCAGGCAGGTTGAAGGCTGGGGAGTTGTTAAATGATGATATTTTCAAATTGGAGAGCAGCTTTGATTTATTGACCTGCCGCCTCTCGGCATCGAGCTGTCTGGGCTGGCATCTGCAGATAAGAGGCTGTCGAGTAATTGCTTATTATTGACTGATTGCCAGCTTGGGCTGTTTGCTTGAAGAAGAATCAATAGCAGTCAATCTTCAAAGGCGAAGCTCTCTGGGAGTATGACTGGTGTCCAAATTGGGAATGACAGGTCAGGATAACTCCATATCTGCGATCCGAACTTCATGTTTAGGTGTAATCCTGCAACGGAGGAGGAAGTGCAGGACCTGATCTTCCTGCGTCAAGGTTTTTTCACATGCTCTAAAGCCTGGGCTTTTCCTTTGCAGGACAGATCCCACCCTGGCTCCAAACCTTCCACCCAGGGCTTGGAGCAGCCTCAGCACCACCTGAGATCAGTGGGAGGCGAGGGGAGGATGACTGCAGGCATCATTCATTAGGTCCCAAAGGATAGAGCAGGGAGGGGTGGATGAACAGCCTGTGCTGTGACACATCCAAACCAACCAGTTTGGATGCTTTATAAATAAAACAAAGCGTCTATTTTAATGCATGGTAACAGAGATTTCCTTTCTGTGGGTGATTCTATTTAGGTGACAACAGAACAAAATATCCAGTGTCACCATAGGCTTTATCACTCCTTACGGAGCCTGTCGCTATGGTGAGCGTTCGTTTTCAAGAGCAGACATAGCCCTTAGTTAACACTCTCATGGCACGTTGCCTTTTTTTGTGGATTCACCAAAAAAAAGGGGAGCTTCCTGGCATCAAAGGTGTTCAAGACTTGGTGTGTGTAAAGAAGAGATGTTCAGGTGTTTGTGATGGCCGGGGTGAGCCCTGGTGCCTGGATGCGAGGAGCGATCTCAGCCCTTGGGCTGGAGCCTGCTCCAGCGTTCCCAGTGCTCGCTCCGGGGCTGCAGTCTGGTCTCCAAGAGTCCTGGGCTCAAGCAGGGCTTCAGACTTGAAACAAGAGCCTTTCGTGGGGGAGGGGGAGCTCGGGTCTCCATCAGCTACAAAGAGCAATTAAGCACCAGGACATAAAATAGATAAATGGGAAGGGGAAGGCAGAACCCTGGGAATGTGGGAAGAGGGAAATGGAAGAATCTGATTGGAAAGTATAAATATTTAGTGCTTCATTTTGGAGCTTTGCTTTCAGCCTGGTTTTGGGGTGAGGGAGAAATCCCCCCAACAGAGCAGTTTAACTGCAGTGGTCCTGCAGGGAATGGACACGATTACTTGAACAGCCTTGTTCAGACGCTGGATCTGTTGTCTACAGCAAATCCTCATTTGCATGGGTCCTTAATCCGTGGAGTTAAACGTGTCCCTGGATCTGTTACCTCCTGTGGTACTGAGTTGGGAGCTAGGTTTTTAAAGCTATTCCTCTTCATTGGAATGTTTTCCCTCCCCTCCCCCCCTGCACCCCAAATGATCTTCCTGGTTTTTCCTTTAAAGCAAAGAGGAGCCAACGAGTGACACAAAAGAACAATCTGCCAGTGAGAAGCTGCAATTTGTGCCTCCAGGGCCGGTGGGTGAAGTGTCCACCAGCCTGGCGAGGAAAGCCAAGCTCAGCCATTTCAAACGTGTGTCGCAGGGAAGCCACTGACCCCCCCTCTTCCTGAAAGGGCACATGAACGTGAAACCTCGAAACCTCGTTGGAGGTGGAGGCTTGGGCAAAGAGCCTTTCTGGAGCTCTAGGAAGGGCTGAGCCCTGGTTCTGGGGGGCTCTTTCACTTTGCCTCTCGTCCTGAAATGGCATTTCCTCGTGTCTGCAGCAGCCCTTCAGTTCATGAAATGGATGCAACTGCTGCAGAAAGATCTCGCGTGAGCATGCTCACTGGAAGATTAATCCTTTAGAGGGAGTTGGAGAGTTAAGCTACTGTAATTTCTCTGCAGTTGGCTGCAGTAAACAACTGCTCTAAAGACACGAGGAAAAAAATTGACGGAGGTATATGGGATTAATGTACCTATCTTTTTGTGTTTCTCCTTGCAGGTTGAGGCTTTGATACAGGTTTTGTTTTCTCGGAGGCGCTGGGGTAGAGGGAGCTGTGTAATGATTTTATGGGTGACCTTCATGTTGTGGTTTCTTTTTTCTTTTCCTCCAGGCCAAAGTAATCCTATTTCCGTGCAAGGCCAGACTGGGGCTCGGGCTGACTTTCTAGAGCTGGGGTAGAGCACCAGGGTGGCTTCGTGTTGAGTGAAATGCTTGTACGAGGTGAGGCCTGCTGCACGTTGAGTTCTGTTGGCAGCAAGGGGCTGAGAACACCTTAGTCCTGTTTAGTTGTGATCAAAACCCACTGGGACTTGATCTCTCGATGCTTTTGTTGGGAAGAAAATGTGAAGGGATTAGCTTGGATTGCCTACAGAATAATAGTGCCTTGTTTTGATTTTGCTCCCCCTCCTCCCCATGCCTGAGGAGCTGCAAACCTGTGTCAGATGTGGGAAGGAGAATAATCGTTGAGATGTTTTGGCTTTGCTTGAAAGGACCATCGCTTCTCACGTGTTGAGGAGAGGAAAAGCCAGCGAGGTAAGTGTTGCAGGCGCACGGATTGCGTCAAGGTGAACCCGAGCTCCTTCCTTCCCAGTCCCTGCTTTGTGGGTGCATCCTGGAGGAAGGAAAAACCTCTGTTCCTTCCAAGGGACTGAACAGCGTTTTATCTACTTGCCTCTGAAGGTGTGGGTGAAGGAGGAGGTGATTTACCACCTGCTTGGTGCTTTGGATGAGCTTCCATGTACTTAGAGTGGTAGAGAGCCAACCTGGGGCTGCCAGGACATGGAGCAGGAGTACACGGTGCTTTGCTTTGTCTCCAGCTGCTCAGCCAGCGCCGAGCTTGCGCTGGGAGAGGCAGTGCTCGCTAACCACAGCCTGCGTCCTTCCCTCTTAGAAACATCCAGCTAATCCTATGGGATGAGGAGGAAATGGAGGTGAACCATCAGCAGACCTTGCCTGGCTGGGGGGGGGAGTGGGGTGGGGAGGGCATGGTGTGAGTGGTATGTACCTAAGTGGAATGAATCGCTCCTCTCGAGCTGGAGCTGTTGGAGATCGCTCCTAGCAGGTCTCCAGGACTGTGTCCCAGTGGAAGAAGGGCACACCCTTCCTCCTTCGAGCAGGGAATAGGAATAATAGTGCAACTCTGCCTGTGCTGCTGAAAATTCCTGTGTTGCATGGCTGTGACAGCGGTCCTGGTGTTAAATTTATATCCAGCAGCACGTATTGGGAAGTGGCTCCATGTTTCCTTGGAGTGGTGCGAAGAAGGGAACAATAACTCCATCATTTTGCACGTCAGTGGCTCCCACTGGACCCATCCCATGGTGTCTGTCAGCTCACGTGCGATGGGGTGCTGCTGCTGGTGGGTGACTGCTGAAGGGCAGTGCTATAGACTTAGCTGAGCTCAAGGTACTGAGCATTGGCAGACAGTTTTACCACCCCAATGTTGAGGGTTTTCGCTTAGTCCCTCCTTTTCCCTTCCTTTCCAGAAGCTCTGGCTGGCACAGCTTGTCTATTCCCTGGATGGGTTTAGGGAACATTGGTGGCTGGGTGCGTAGGGGGAATAATTAGCTACCAAATGCAGAGATTGTTTCTTGCTGTTTCAGAATCATTGTAATTTCTATTGAGGGTGGGTTAATTACATATTCGTTTTGATGGGTGTAAGGAAAATGATAGAGATACAGCAATATGAATCTGTGCAGAGAGGGATGTTGTTTTCAGGATGCTGTTTTGGAAATCGTGGGAACAAAGACTTGTCTCTTGGAGGACCGTGGCTGTCGGGATTCAGCTTCTCAGTGGTGGAGTGTTTTCTGTGTCATATTTTTATCTTACACCAGTGATGTATCAGTCACCATGACAAGGGGGGTTCAGTTTGGAGGAGAGCGATCACATTCTGGTTGCATTTGGTTGAAGGGTTGGGAAATAGTTCTCAGAAAAGCAAAGGTGAAAGCAAGAAAGTTGGGCCTTAAAATACTTGATCAAGATGTAGCACAAATACATCTTGAACCTGAAGTAGGTGGGGAGCTCCTTTACCAGTGCAGGACCCAGAGGCCCCGGACCTGGTCCATGCGCTGGAAAAGGGGCTTGTCCCCAGGTCCCATAGGGCAGGGCATCACTGTTGATAACTTTTGCAGTGTGCGACTTCAGGAAGCTTGGGGATGTCATCTCGGTCTTTCCCAGCAACCTCACTGGGAAAGGGAATCAAGTTCATCTCTACAATAGATTTGGATCAGCTTTAAACTTTTTCCTTTGGTCTCCAATACCAGGACAGGCATCTCTGGCACTAGAAAATGGGGAGAGGCTCAATGAAAGGACAGAGGTGACTCTGGTTCTTTAGTGTCCTGCCTTTTGTCTCAAAGCTACAGAGTAAAGCCCTCCTCCTCTTCTTATTTTAGAGTAAAATGGGGTGAATGAGCTATTTTCAGTGGCTGAGGAGATCCCTTAGCATGGAGCACCACGCTCTGGTCTTGCCATGCCTTTGGTGTCCTCCAGATTGGAGCATCCAGCTCCTCTCCAGCAAGCCTGGAATTGAGGAGTCTGAGAGGAAAAAATAACTACAATCAGATTTCATTTCTGTTTGGTTTAAGGTCTGTGGATGTGCTCATGGGCTCTGTGAATGACAGCTCTGGGACAGCTCTGCACGTCCCTGGTGAATGCCCCATCCCTGGCAGTGTTCAAGGCCAGGTTGGATACAGGGGCTTGGAGCAAGCTGCTCTAGTGGAAGGGGTCCCTGCCAGTGGCAGGGGTTGGAACTGGATGAGCTTTAATGTCCCTTCAACACAAACCAGGCTGGGATTCTATGTTGGTTCCTCTGCTTGGGCAGCTCACAGCTCACTGCTGTGGGTGCAGGCTCTGCTGTGAGCCCCAGCAGCCAAGGGCACAGAGCTTGACTGCGGCTGCTGGGAGCTGTTTTCTGCAGAGAACAGGGGGATCAGTGGTGGAGGAAGCAGCCAGTGCTGTGGCTGGAGTCATCTGGGGAGAGCAGAGGTGGATCCCACCCAAAACCGTGACCTTGGGTGTCAAACTCATCTCTCCGTGTGGATGGGGCCGTGTGGACTGCGGTGCATGTGGGGCATGCAGCGCTGGGGACTTGTGTGCCTTGGTGGAGGTGGGTGACTTGGACTTCCCAGGAGGATTCACTGCCTGAATTTGCAGGCTCCAGTCTTTACATTTAGATTCAGATTTAGATTTACATTTACATTTAGATGTATGGCCAGTTCTGTCTCTTTCTCCATCAGCGCAGCTTTGTTCAGGGGAGGAACTGAAACCTGTGTTTGGGACTTGCTCACCTCTGGTACTGCAGCAGCCAAGGACTGTGTTCAAAACAGAAAGAACAAACTGGAACTGAATCTTGCAGGTGCATCTAAAGAACCCTTCTGCAGGCCTGGCAGCCACAGGGAGGAGAAAGTCACTGTGCTGGGGAATACACTGCATCAAAGTCCCAGGCTTTACCGATCAAATGATGACTGCTTCAAAGCCTGGTGTCTTTGCTTCTCTCCCTTCTAACTGCTTCAGCCAACCTGTAGTCAATTGGCAATGACTTAAAACCCAGCCATTATGGTAGGAGCCTTGTAATTACTTGCTGTGATGAGTCCTCCTTCTGCTGTAAGCAGGGTTTTCTGTAACACAGTGTTCCTCCACCTTCGTGCTTCCATGAGGCTCTGTTGAAAGAAAGGTTTTATCTCCGGCTCTCCTGTCTGCCTGGACACTTTGAAATCCAGCCCATGGCAGCGTCTCAGCTTCTTCCTTAATGCTCTCAACTACCTTCTTGCTGCTGCAGCCTTGCCTTGTGCCCTTTTGTGGTACCCTCCTGTTGTTCTGAGCCTTCCCTATGCTTGTAGGGTGAAGCCAGGAAGGGCTTTCAGCATCTCCTGTGCTCCTGGGAAGGCATTGGAGCATCCTGAAAGCAGCAGTTAGCAAAGGGGACTCCCTACCCCCCATCTCCCTGAGGATTACTGAGTGAACTTCCAGGCACAGGGGAAGGAGCTGCATTTTTTAACCTGGCTGTGAAGTCAATAGAATAACCACATTCCACATTATTCCACAGCATTCCACAATGGCTTCAACCTGAGAGAGGGGAGATTGAGATTAGACATTTAAGAAGCTCTTCCCTGTGAGGGTGCTGAGGCGCTGGCACAGGGTGCCCAGAGAAGCTGTGGCTGCCCCATCCCTGGCAGTGTTCAAGGCCAGGTTGGACACAGGGGCTTGGAGCAAGCTGCTCTAGTGGAAGGTGTCCCTGCCTGTGGCAGGGGTTGGAGCTGGGTGAGCTTTAAGGTCCCTTCCAACACAAACCGGGCTGGGATTCCTATGGTGGATGAGGCATACTGCATTGATCAGTGTATAGGACATACATTTGGGTTTCTGAGTTTTAGAGAAGCAACACAGTGTGTTAGGTTCTGCTTGGAAAAACAGGGTCTGTGAAGAAAGGGAAGATGGAAGAGAAATCCTGCTTTAAAGACCTGCATCTGCCTGTGCTGAAAGATGGCATTAAACAGAGCAGGAAGAGAACAGGAATGCAGGAGCCGGTGCTGTGAGCATGGCAGAGGAGGAGGAGAGGACGGGAGGTGGTGAGGAGCCTTGGTGGCTCCTTAAAACAAGGGGAGGGGAGGAAGGAAAGAAGAGGAAATGAACTGCAGGTGATTCTTCAAGCATCATCTAGCCCGTGACCTATTTGCTGCCGCAGTGATTTACAGCTCCAGAAGCAAAGAGAAGGAATGGCTGCTCCCTGTGGAAAGGGTACAGGTGCTGAAGGGAACAGAAGGAATGGCCATTCCCTGTGGGAAGGGTACAGGTGCTGAAGGGAACAGAAGGAATGGCCATTCCCTGTGGGAAGGGTACAGGTGCTGAAGGGAACACAAGGAATGGCCATTCCCTGTGGGAAGGGTACAGGTGCTGAAGGGAACAGAAGGAATGGCTGTTCCCTGTGGGAAGGGCAGGAGTGCTGGAACATGCGGGAGCTCTTCCTGGTGGCACTGTCTCCAGCTGCAGTGATGTGGCTGCACCCAGAATCCACAGAACCACTGCTTGAGATAGCAAAGGGAGCATCTTGAGTCACACATTTCCCTCTGTTCCTCACAGGGAACAGTGCTGGATTCAGGCACCAGCCTTGGAGCTGATTTAAGGATATGGCTCCTTGATGCACAAGCGAGCTCCTTCCCCAGGAGGGGTGCAGGGCACTATGTGACTGGCCTGTCTGGGGACATGGATCACTGGGACATGATGGGAACAGCAGAAAGTATTCATCCCAAGCCTCCTTAACAATCCACTGCAACCCAGGAGTCTGTGTTCTGCTTTTGCTCCTTCCAGAGCCCGCGCTAACCTGATCATTCTTAATCTCATCTTATTTTCCAGATCATCAATTTGATTCCTCGGTACTGTTACAGCCCTTAGTGTTCCCGGGAATCTGTGCCTCCATCAGTTCATTGTCCCTGTTTCTTCTTTGAGGCTGTAGCAACCTTGAACCACAGTTTCCTGCTATTTATATAACTCACACTGCTTATTAGAAGAGTCCTTCAGGAAGAGATACCCCCCGATTTGCT